GCAACTCGAGTTTGTTGATAATCTCCAAAACAGCTTAGACCGCAGGCCTTCTTTCCACCATACGGAAATCGGAAAACTCACAATGAACGTACGTAGGCGAATGCTCAGCAGTTTGATATTGGGGTTGCATCTAAACTCAAAACTATACGAACTGTTGATGTTCCCAGGGAACATCACGATATTCTTGCAAACACATCTTATCGGTCCAAAACATAGAGACTACAAGGTTCATATTATTCGAGTTCAAAGAATCGTGGTTTTTTCTCGGTAAAATAGCCAAGGTCATCTGGATTTTGAAGCTGCTGGCTTTAAGCCAGGTGTTGTTCATGCCGAACCATCGTTTGCCAAGGGGTACTCTGACTGTTGTGTCCAAAAGAGAGTAGTAGAAGCATTAGAGCGCTCCGTGTTTGACACGACAAGTGGTATGAATGATGGAAAGAAAAGTTTGAATGCTGTCGCCGTGATTAGTTTTTGGGATTGCGGCTGAGTGATATTCACGAGCCAGGGTTGCAGTCGGCAGTCTCACCCTCCTTCGCACTTTTTTATCCGGAACTGATGAATGACTACCTGGAAGCAGCAAAACATCAGAAGATTGGGATGAGCTAGGGAAACAACAACAACAACAAGGCAACCTAATAAAAATGGTTAGAAATTGCATGTGTTAAACACCGAGGTTATGCACTCTATGATGATAGTTTCCTTGAACATGGTAATCAAACTCGTATTTCAAAAATATTTACCCGTTCCGGACATCACGTATGGTTGTGGAATTTGGTCTTCACAATTACAGGGCATATAAAAACTCCTACGGACACGGCATACTTTTTACAGCCAACTTCAGTGAGAGATTAGTTATTGCTATGGTTATGGTTAGTAATGGTGCGTACCACATGACCTGGAATTCTGTGGGTCAAATTCAATCTATTCTACCCGTTCCTTGTATCTCAGCTCCGGCATCTTGGCAGTATCAGAGCCCTCGTCATCATTTTAAATGTGGAGGTATTCAGTCTCAACTCAGCATCTGTAAACGAAATTAGGACTTTATCCCAAATCGTACAATTGTAGCCCACCGAAGTTTGTCATGAGGTATCTATAAAAAGCGGTCAGCTTACTACGTGAGAATTCGAGTGTCGACTGAGTAGGTACTAGGTAACGCACGCTAAAATTTTTCCAGAACGCGTCGTATCTTGGCATCATTTTGTAACACTAATCGAGGTTGTCTCACTGCGCGACAGGTATTCCAGGTAAGTACAACTTACTTCGGAGATACACTTTTTTCACTTAGCAATTCATCAGTGCCAAAGGACTTCCATATTTAGAAAATATTATGTTTAGCTGTCTCTGTTTAAAAAGAACATATGTCTGCAGCCGAATGCGCCATGATCAATCGTTGCCATGGTACATTTAAGTATATATTTAGGTGGGTAGTTAACAACCTTTATACGACTCCAAACGCTGTGCGTCCGCCCACACACAATGGCTTGTAACATGCATTGATGGTAACATTAACGGATTCTGACTTGTGGTTCGAGACAACATTTGGAAACATTCGGAAGTTTGACGTCATAAGAGTCTCGGATACGACAAAACAATTGGACAATCTTTGGCAAGAGACACAAAATTTTCAAGGCCGGTTCACTATCCATTTCATTCGGTCCTTTCCAAACAACGTTTAGTGTAACTACCCATCTGGCATGAAACAGAATGAGAGAGTGAAGTCAGTCTACACATTACTTTTACTAGTGTTCTTTACGGAAAAATGTTCATTCACTCAGTCACATTCACCAAGGTATTGCATTGAAAAACGGATGAATGTTTCGCTAAGTGTTCTCAACTGCACGCTGATTGTGTCCATACAAAAGATGTGAGTGAATTTAGCCAAAGCTCGCGTTTCCGAAAGCATTGTCTAACTGGATGTGCTTCATGTGGTTGTCATAATCCTAGAAGTCGCAAAACGTTTTTGGATGTATGACGTTATTTACAAGATAAATGCATGCCACCGGTTTCATCCTCCCTGGATTCGACTAAAAAGGTGTTGTCTCCGGGTCTTCGTCAACCCAACGTTCACCCTGTACCTCATTTGTAAAAATTCGTCAGATACTCTCATACTAACACCGTCATGTGTTCCATGGGAGACTCAAATGGACCCATTTGAAACTCACTTTGATTGCGGCCTTCTTCGACAAAGTGTGATGCGGAATTCAATTTTTGTTAGCCGGTGGCTTCTACAGTGTACACTGAACTATGTATACTGACATGCGTATACTGCCTCGAAAATAACCTGGTCAGCCCTTGCGAATTCCTTTCCCAGAAGGTAAAGCCCTTCAGAAAAATACAGGTTGGTTTTTATGGAAATGTGACTTTGCAATAAACTGTTTTACCGAGGTCACCTTGCCCTAAAATTGAATGACTTTGCAAGCTATTTCGGATACCCCGGTTTGTAACACCGCACAACGTTTTTGTGCAAACTAGTCCAAATTAGTTTGCTCTACCCTAGGCGGCAAACTTGTGCTTATTAGCGCTAACAGCTGAGTGAATCTTCAGACAGATTCACGAGCCATCTGGTGTGCTTTAAGGGGAGGTTTTAAGAGACTTTTTCAAAAGTCATTAGTCATCACAATCCTATTTTGGCAACGGAATCTGTAAGAATCACGTTATTTTCTGGTAAAGTAAATCTCTAATCACGGATCAACGGCACCATAGTTCCTTTGCCAGAATCGTTCGATGAATGTTCCGTATGAAAACCCCCGACTGGATCGTTCCCTCGTTTTTTTAGTTTTTATTCAATATGTAAAATCCGCTATTATTCCGTTTCTCTCGTCCTTTTTAATGTGATTTATTTTGCATTCTTGCTACATTTTATAGGTGACAATATGCAGATTTCACAGTACAGGTCCAAGTGGAAGATTGTGCCGATGGGGTAGAAAACATTGAAAGTTGAATGATGTGGGCACAAGTTGAACATCTGAACGTTTTATGTCAGCAATCTATCTAAAAATTACGGAAAATGTGGGAACTACATTGGCTGCACAGCACCAGGTGATATCTGGTTCGTTTTGGTTCACCAGCGATAGAGATTGTGCACAATACCAATTCCTACTTGCCAAATATGTAGAGCCAAGTCAGACATTTCAGATATTCTGCAATTGTGCTTACTGCTGACGCCACATTCGAGCTGCCGATTTAGGGCCTAATGAAGAATACGCCTCTTGCACATTGCCGCTCCCCTTCTATTCCACTAAGTGCACAAAACCTATCGCGTGGGCTCGACTGGCGCGGCTACCTCTCTTATGACGATATATTTATGATGAACGTTTCTGATTGTCATCAATCCGAATTTAGGGTGACACAAACGAATTGGAACTTAACAGATCATATCACCCTATAACGTCGACTAAATTTCATTAAATCAGAGCCACGATAAATGTATATGCGTGTATGTGAGGCCGTCGTCGTACCTAATAATGATATATCAGCCCCGGTATTATTGCTTCCTGCTCCGTTTCATTTTACCTTCTAAACATCCATAAACTGTTCATCGTTGATGTGTATTTCCGCAAAATAGTCTAATTGTACCAAACATCCTATACATATTTAGACACGTCCTTTGAAGCAGTCCCCATTGGCGCTTCCATTTTCAAAACCCGAAGCAAGACGGGTTTGGCTGCGTGAGGGGCAGCTGTGCGTTAGACTCCTGGCAATTCTCTCATGTAGTTGGAAAATCATATATGAATAAGCATGGTTTTCATAGTGTGCCTTATTTCACATTTCCCTGTGTCCGTTGCTTTGTGCACTGAGAGGTAAACATAGTACTACGTAACTTCAACAGAGAGCGTCATTGCATGTAAGTTTCTTCGCTCATTTTCGTTTATGAAACCATGTTCTAGTGACCAACTAATGCATATAAATAACCTTACCATTTTGCTGAGAAAAAAAGATGTCTAACCAATGAGGCTCCTGCAAAATGTTTTATAAGCATCCCATGTATCTAAAAATAAATGAATCAGGAGAATTCAAAATAAAATGGAGAAAGTAATATAATGTGAGAATACATTGTAACGAACGACTGGCAGACATTTTCAAGCGGTGTTCCCATACCATTTTCATCATCGTCATCGGTAACGTAAATTTGTTGTTCAACAGCGGGGCTCACATGTCGACGAGGTTGGCTTTGAAATATCTGAGTCTTTCATTGCCAGCTGTCTCTGAAGAACCGATGCACATCAAACGGGCTGTCAATCCAGACGGATAAATTAGCAAAGGGAACCTCCGCTGAGAAACAGAAATAGGATGTCATCAGTTTTATCTCGTTTGTGTTTGGTGTGCCCGACTCACCGAACGACGACCCAGTAACTGTCCTGGTTGTGACGATCATTTGACCCGCCAGTCAGGACTTCAGGTGGAGAGGCACACACTTGAAGCCCCACTGGGCAGAGTTTGGGTTTTAATTTTGTGGTTTTGCGGGATAGGTATTTTGTTCATAGCCAAACCACCGGTTTGACCTGCCTGTAGACCCGATGGAATACAATTGACAGACAAACGCGAGAAACCTTGCTAGGGAGCCTTCAGATGCCCCGGCTCCAACCGCCAGAAATGTGAGAAAATTTCTCAAAAACTGCCGCGGCCATCGGTAGATATTTCGGATGCCAACTCGTCCTCAGGCTCCGATTAAAGATGTTTCACCAATTCAGATGCTAGCCTTACTAAATGCTGCTGGACAACATCCAGCGACCTATTTTAACCCCTCAAATACCTCCCTTCTCTTGTGGGCACCGGTTTTCAGGGTCACTTAATAAGGTGACAAGGATTGAATCCAAGGACAGGAGTTTGCAGAACTTCATTGTGACATCTCTAATATCGGTACATATACATTTGATTTAAACGGCTGGTATCCCGTATCCGTGACAGTTAATCTCTCCTCTCCCTCGCGACAATTTCGAACTCAAAATCTTTCAAGGCTCCTCTCGCGGTTCAAAAATCTCAGCACCATTCACATTCAGACCCTTGATGCTTCGCGTAAGGAAGGGACTCCAGAATGTTGCGGTGTACGGAGACGATATCGCTGTGTACAGAAATTCGGAAATAGAGCACCCAGTTCACTTGAAGGCTGGTTTGAAGCGGATCCGGGCGGCTGGCCTGCAGATAAATTAAGCCAAGTCCCAGCTCGCTCAGAGTTCGGTGACACTGCTGGGGCATAATTTGGGTCAGGGAGAAGTTAGCCCACTGCCTGAAAAATTTGGCAAAGATCAATGATTGTAGTGTTCCCGATTCAAAATGGCCTCTACGGCAGTTCCTTTGACGAGCAGCATACGACAGACGGTTCGTTGAGGATTTCAACACGATCCCTCCACCACTGTACGATGTGGTTCGTCAAAATCGGAAATTCGAATGGACCGGAGAAGCACATGAAGCTTTGGAACGTGTCAGAGCGCGGATGTTGGATGAGAAACTTACGCTCATCTGCTCAGGTTCGGAGAAATGTTCATTGTTGCAACGGAAGCCAGTGATCGCGGCATCGGAGCAGTTCTAAAGCAGAGGAATAGAATTTTCGAATATGCCTGCTGTGTCGTGACTAACGCTGAACAGAAGTTCTCCACCAGTGAGAAGGAAAGTTTGGAGTTCGTATGGGCCCTGGATAAGTGAGGGCCATATCTTCTTGAGCAAAGTTTTCATGTAAAAACCGATCGAATCCCCTGGAGTGGATCAGGACCATCAGAGATCTTTGAACTGGATGCCGAAAAGTCGGTGCAACTACAACGACAGGATTGTGTGTTACAGAAGGTTGAAGCCACTTTGTTGGATGGAAGAAGCATTGAGAACGGAGAGAAAGACAAAAACTAAGAAACGTTACACAGTCATTTTGATCGGCTGAGGCTGTATGAAGCAAGCAAAATTTCCTGGAACGCCACTGATTTGGATGTTGTGTTGCCCGTGATACCTCGCGTCTCGAGACGGAATGTTATCTTTGAATGCCATGAGATGGCACATACAGGGTGCACTAAGTTGTACGACCCATTTCCGCAGCGGGCCTACTAGCTGGGATGAGAAATGGAGTGGTGGGTTATGTAGTGCCCTGTAAGCGTTTTCAACGAATGAAAGGGGCTGTGACAAGAGCAACACATCCTGTGGAACCTATTCCAGTCTCAGAAATCCGCGAGTTGTGGTCATTTGCCATCATGAGCCCCCTTCCGGTGACCATCAGTGGGAACCAATACATCGAGATGATGCCAGAACACCTGTCGCGATGGACTGAAACGGCGTCCGTGCCTAATCTGCTGGCGACGACGTTCAACGGAGTGGTAATGCATCACATCGTGACCAAACATGGGGTGCCGAAAATGATGTTAACCAATCGGGGGCTTTTCTTCGAGAGCGAAGAGTTTATAAATTGCTTGCAGAAGCTGGGCATCAAGCGGCTAAAGGCGGTCCCCTACCACTCGCAAACATCTGACCTAACCGAACGTAATAATCGAACGATCGCGGAGTGGCTGGCGGATTAAGATGGAGCCTGTGAAATGAACTTGCCAATGGTGTTACTAGCTCATCGTGCTTCCATACATTCAACCACAGGCAAGTCCCTCATTTATGCTGATGTACAGTCGACATTAACGCCTTCCGGTTGATCACGGAAAGGAGTTGCGGCTGGCATCACGCTTGTCTCCGGAGGACCTAGAGGAAGAAAGACGGAGAGCTCGAGAAAGCTTGGCCATCATTCAGGAAAGGACTAGGCAGAAAAGGGCAAGTAGAAAGGTACGAACGTTCCCTATAGGCAAGAAGGTCAAGCGAAAGGACCACCAGAATCCTGGACGAAGTGGACTGGGGTCGAGAAATCTGGGCAGTCGACTGCAGGGGCCGCTTGTGGTTACCGGCCAACGGGGGAACGTCTTTACAATACAAGATGATCAGGATCGAAAAGAGTGAACGGGAAGTAGTGTCACAAGTGGCATGATACACTAGTAGAATTGCCGAGTAGACCGGCTGCTCAAGCCGACCTGGGGGAGGTAAATAAAAATCGGTGGCAGGCGAACGACCTTTGAGAGTTGGAGATGTGTAATGATGATACTACTTATGGGGAGACACGCGAGTAGTATGCGTCGTTCTTGGAATTTTGCTCTGGGTCTCTTGAAAAGGGGAGATCTGTTGCAGAGTTCGTGGGGTCACTTTGTAACATTTGCTTGCATTTGAGCGAGGGATGATTGCAGTCAATGAATCTCCACGAAATTTCAAAAAGATATATTCGAGAGAAGATAAATGTAGTGTTTTTGTGGATAAAATACAACTAAGAGTTCTGCTTTCCTGTCCAGTGATCTTTGACCGGTCATATAGCATTTCCTAATAAATAATTCCGCAGCGGACTTTCACCGGGACGTAATTCTGATCATCTTTTTCATTCTTTCTAGCCGTCAACTGCACTTACGATGGCTTCTATACGACAGTTAAGAAAGCGATAATTCTAGACGGAAGTCCAAATTTCACACTAACTCAATGCAGTGATAACAGTAGAGTGAACCCCGCGCGTTGATTTAAACATGAGGCACGATGATAAGTTCACAGAGTGGTTTACGTTCAGGTCAGAACGAGGAATAATGTATTACACCCTACGAAAACAAGTAAAATCTCAACGATTTTGACGGATACATTTTTTTCCTTCGCCATATTGGATCCCAATGTTTGTCAGTCATATAGAGTAGGTATGATGATACATTTTATGGCTTCATCAGCAAACTCCAGTCACACAGCTCAAGCCAGAACACATTTGCCTATTTAGAAATAGTAAAGTCGTTGTGTCGAACGTACGCTCAGAGACTAGCAAAAGTACTCTTCAACCGTTTGTCAGACACCGGGAATTCTGAACTCAACACTTTCAGAAATGCACGAATTCCTAATCCCTTTCTTCTTTCTGGACACAGTCCCACCACAATTGCGCAACAGCAGTGATATGAATATCCATCAAGCAACAGTGTAAACGGCGGTAATTGAAAGTGTTTACTATGTGAAAATTATTAAGTGAGGTCCCAAAATAAGTATTTTATTGGTAAATAATAATCTTTTGGCTGTCGAATCAGGAGGGGAGTTGTGAGAGCTAATCTTTAATTCTCTGAGTAACGTTCAAGGAACTTGCCTCTATCCCCTAAGTCAAAAGTCAGAACACTGTGGTAGAATGCAGTGAGATTTTCTTTGGTGCTCATTTCCACAGCTCCTCAACTCCTAAGGACTGACCTGGCCCCAAGATGTAGTTAACGACTGTTTCAATTTACTGTGGATGAGCAAACAGGTGAAGTTTTGGTAACCCTTGATCGTTGGAATTTGCAAGTGCATCGAATTTAATAAATAGTTCATAACCTGTCATGAAGAAAAATTTGAGTGATCGGGGTGGTGGGTCTTCGGGTGTAGCCCAAAGAATAATCTGGTGAAGGCAATATCACATCTTGCATAGGAAAGCTTACACTATTCCCATGAAGGAAACGTTGACGTTTTCACCCTCACCTTTCACAGGTGGATTTGTTTTATCACCGGAACGCCTTAAATCCGATTTCTAGATTTTGCCGTATTTTGTCTGGTTGATCCTCTTCAGCTTTCCTGGCATGCGTGATACGTAAGGAGCATAATTCCAACCAATGTAACCCCCAGGAACACGGGGGCAAAAGGACACGACTACCATGGAATCTACATTCACTCTAGGGATGGCTTGTTTCACTGCGAGAAACCGTCTTTCTCCTTGCTGCGTCTTGGTCTAGCTCCGAAAAATGTCATTGAAAATTTCAAATTGGTGATTTCATACTCCCACCAATTCTTCCGGGATGACAGGAGTGGCAGTTTATCAGGTCGGCAGTTCCTGTTATTCCGCACTCATGGGCAGTCGACTAAGTATTGCTTGCATCGACAGTTCAAAGTAAGAGCAACTTGTTGGCTTCACGTCAATTTCGAATGATGATAATGGAACTGTTTGGTTAGATTTTGCCGTGTTCTTACAGAGGCAAAACTAACGGCCAGGTTGGTGTGAATTTTCCCAACAAAATGAACACTGTAAAAGGGTCCAAGCTTATTTCACGCCTTACATTGTTGTTTTTAAGCAAAAACTGGAGACAAAAGTGAGTATGCAACCCTCATTGTTGTTTCAAAGCATACTGGTTTCCTAGTACACCGTTACGAAACGAATAGGCCATGAGCCGTAAATCTTTTATGGTTGCTGCAATAACTTGTGAAGGTATTTTTAGCGAATGAACTCCGATTTAACATTTGGGCGAGCAAGGTATGTTGCCTGCCCTCTGTGACACGTTTACTCTTAAAGCTGAAACCTCAATCTGACATTATGGGCAAGCCCCTAATTAAGCCAAACGTATGAATTGTGGATAATTCAAACAAGATTGGTGAACTTGAAGGGCAACGCAACTGCTAACTGTTTCAGCGCATCTAAGATGAACTCACTCACAGGTGTGGGTAAACTCGACTGACCATTACGGTCTGTCTGGTGAGAAGTAAATAAATTAGGGGAAACACAGCCACCACGACTTTTCTATAGGTGTGCACCGGCGGATGGGATACAGTACTACGGAGCAACCGATGGAACCGCCCGACTGAAAAAATAAATAATAAATAATAATAAATAAGAATAATAAATAATAAATGAATAATAAAACAATAATAATCTAGTAGCACCATATTAACACGCGTAAAACTACTCAACGCACAACAAGTAACCCACCGATTCGCACTACTACGCTCCCGTTAATGCACCGATGATGTCACTACGATTGGTGATGAGATGTTTGCAACCAAATTGCCCAGCTCAGCGAACAAGCCAAAGGACCAACTGACCATTGTTTGCTTGTCAAGTTTCCAATGTTCATTAATTCGGGACAGACTTTAATCTGGGTTAATCGAATCCAATAACGTCAGACTAGATTGTCCCCGGTCTTCTTTTATCATGCTTCATAATCTGTTTAATACTTTAGTTAAGTTTACTGTCTGTAGCACTTCGTGGATCGAAGGGTTCTGGAAACATTTACTCGTGGACATTGAGTACGTAGACGATATTGCACTCCTTGGGTTACATCTTTCGAAAACTCAAAGCATTTTAACTAAGCCGAATAATTCCGCAGCACGGGTTACTGTGCGATTTTCACCTGTAATCTGTAGGTTGTTGGATGTCACCAAACCTTTGAGATTTAGGTTTGGTCCAACCCGATCCCGAAGCAGCACTTCCCACATGACAGAGGCGAAGCGCTTTGCCAACTGTACGGAAAAATTGGTTACATTCGTTAAAATGGTTTGGATTTGACGTGCATCACGCAGATAGCTGCTCTTTTTACCAAGGCTATTGCTTTCATTGCGAAACTTTTGATCCATCCCACAGGCAACAAACAGAAACTCCAGAAGCAACTGATCAATTGGGCCACCTACTGCAACGCGTGGCTCTTATTCCCTCATTCTAATTATCCTCAACTAATTCGCTACGCGATTTGACACTCTGATGTGGACAAAGTTAGTGAGAGCGCCCGGGTTATTTTGGCCGACAGTTGGAAATGATTTGACGCACAGCACACCGTTCCTTTTATAATTTGATTGCTCGATGATTGTCCGAAATCAAAATCGCTAGCGGTTGGTAATACTAATATGGGATGGGTTTTCGGATTATCTTACTGACCCTTCAAACCCATATCTCAGATAATTTGTCGGAACTAGACATAACCAGGCCTATCGAATTTAATTCATCAGTGTAAGTAGGGTGCGTTGTATACCTGCCACAAACGTAAACCCAGGCATAAAAGTCATTTTTGAATGTATGTGGTAGAGTATTAAACGACCTGAATCCTTCTTTGCAACCGCAGATTACGTGGAATCTTTGAAAGGTAAGTGGCTGGTAGAATTTATGACCCATTCAGATTCTGCCGGATTTCGGTGAAAGCCTACCACACTTACCACGCAGTTTTCTTGACTAGACCTATTTGTTCTCTTCAAATATGCAATAATCGCGGGACTTTGTAATTTTACTCTGCCAGTGTGTGCGGTTTTGAAGCCCATTCCGCTCACATCGCAAAAGAAAAATTCGTTCATCTGCTGAGTTTTCACCAATCAGGGGAAGCATCGTCAGCGTGCACCCTTAAGCTTCACCTAGCATTGGTAAACATAAGATCTCATACTAATTAGAAAACCTGATGAACCGTCTAACAGACATCGAATAGAAAACAATCCCAATAAATGCTCACCTCATTCACTCTAGATTTCAGCGCGGTAAAAAACTGGCGCACCAGTCACCTTCACTCTTAAGTCCTCCCATCGCTTTTCATTTCAGCATTTTTGGAGGCGGTACAAAGTAAGATTGTAAATTTGTGAGAGATTGCTTTTTGAGAAACAGAGTGCCTTACATGCGTAGGAGTGGTACCCTTTGTCTAGTTTCCAGATGCCACCAACCGAGGTTCTGCATCATTTTTTGATGAAAAATTCAGGTAGGATACTCTACGGCACAATAGTTGCTTGTCGTATCTTCTCGCAATAGAGCAAACGTTAAGAAGGTTTCACTGGTTGAATGAGTAAAATAATTTTGGGTTCAAACTAATGGTAATCGGACACACTCAACCCTTCAGACGACAGATGAAACATGGATCATGAACTATGGAAAAATTGATGGGGGGTGCGAGAACGTTCGCCCTCAAAACCTTCCCGGTCGGAATTGTGGACGAACTATGACCACAATTCACAATTCACATGAATGCCGTAAAAATCCAACGGAGGAAGGTAACTGAAGATAGTTTATCCTGGGATTTTGGTAATAGCGGCCATCAGCAGGGATTACCTCAATAAATGAATGATAGCCGAAAACCCGCTATCCGATCAAAAGTCAGCCAAGATTGGTGACGTAGAAAATCGCATTTGAAAGGTAATTTACTTTTTATCAAACTAACCAGCAGTAACGGACGTGCTTTTTTCGGAAGTCAACCACTAGTTACAATTCTCAAACTGTCAAAAAACTAGACCGTTGTCATCCCTTGAACTTGGCATTTAGTATATGAGAATGCTGTATTGGCCAAAGATCTTATGGGACAGCTCCAGCCCCGCCCTTCGCCAGGAAAGATAACTTTATCTAAGTGAATTTATGTAAACGATATGAGACATTATCACTACCCTCATAAAACAAAACTTTTGGAAGCCTTGTGTTATTCTATTAACTTACGTCAGCACTACCAGGTGACGTGTATGCCGGCTTACTTGAGAGTTTTATTACTTCCTCTAAGTGCAGCCAGTCGACGTCGGCATGTCAAGAGTCACTGCATTATTCTTATTGAGAATGATTTCTATTAAAACATCGAAAAACTCCCGTCTCTTTACTTTGGAACTGCTAATATCACGTTAGTGGTGGATATTAAAAGTTCAACCAGGAGCGGCTGTTTATCTCGCACTGAGGATGCATGCAGGACCACTCATTCTTTGTTCACTCTTGTAGAGCCAGTCAACACATGTGTCCATCTGATTTAGATCTCGCGATTAAGGGGCGGTTAACGGTCTGCTCTGTTTTCTGCAAGTTAATCGTGGCCGGAGCGTCAAGTGGTCAATCTAGTAGCCAGTAGTTCCGGAGTTCGAGACACCCTGAAATCGCAGGAAGTGTTTACTGCTGATGGGCTCAAATCAGAACAAGATAATTGTGGAGAGAATTGGAAAATCAAATAGTATGTTGGCTCGCATATTGGACGTGATGAACCATGTTGCTGATTGTAGCGGAGAGAGCGAAGGCTTACACTTCCAGGGGAATTTTCAGGTTTCCATTTGCTAAGTGCATGCTGGGACGCCGTCAGTCAAGTTTCGGATCAAGCTGCCAGAAAAATGTAGTAGCGCCGAAATGTGAGGTATTGCTTATCAGTAGACTGAAAGTAAACTGTATCAAGCAGGTATTACGCATTCTTAGAAATGGAAATTAAGTTCTGCTGGCTCTTTCCGTGAGGATTGCTCTATTTTCGGCCAAATGTTCCGAATATTCCAAACCAACCAACGACGGAAATCGTCGTAGGTACTGACGATTTCCAAAAACACTGGCCAACGACAGAAATTTGGCATAAGCTCTCCTTTACAATGTTGAATAGTATAACGTTTCAAAGAGTAGAACCTCTGTTTTGCTTACCGTTCACTTTCAATGAAGGACGGAAAGCCATATATCAGCAGTGCCTGTCTGACAAAAAGATGAGAAGAAAATCACCGCGCGGCTACCTTTATGTAAAAACCAATATGACGGCCAGAGCAGCGTGCCATTTTAGACATCTAGTCTGTCAAACGCATGTTTCAAAAGAAACAAATACACCTGGGTGAAAATTGCAGGTGTGAGCGTCCCGAAACATCTTTAAACTTGGTGTCATAAAGTTTTCCGAAATCAATGTCTTCTCTGTCAATTCCAAGAACCTTCCAAAGGAGTGAAATATCATTTGTTTTACTAGTTAAATATGAGAAATTGAAAAAAGGTACGTTCCAGACATGTGTCACATACAAGTTCAAATATTTCGTGTGGTGAATACAACTGAATATATGATAAGATTAACAGAGTGCATTGCTTGGATATCAATTTTGTAAAAACAAAATGACCCACCTTAGAGGCCAGGTTGCGTCAGCTTCTTGACTCTATTATTGAATACTGTGAATGTACACCAGGATGAATGTGCCACAAGGACAGTTCCGAGGAACCTTTGTAGAGTTCTTTCGGATAGGAAAATTAATGTTGGTCAAATCCACGAGTTTAGTGGGTATGTACGCACGATTATGTTCTTATATGTTCCTCACCACCAGGCTTGCTAGGACGTTTATGAAAATCTAAACAAATCATTCATTCGGCCAATCTCTTGTTGACTGGCCGAGTATATATGATTGAGCGCAGCAGAGGCGGTGCCCTTTCAAACATCTGAGTAGACGTTACCGGAGACATCGATGCAGGCAGAAGAAATCGGCCCAATAACCGGCACATAAGTCTGGCCACGAATAACAAAACACTAAGTGTTGCGTTGTAGTACCTTTATTGCAAACCGATTTAATTGATGACCGTGACAATGAATGAAGGCAAAGCCGTGATTATATTGTGGATCTTTATATGAAAAATGGCCGCCTTTCCTGTTCCAACGGGATGAACGTAGGCACCGCACTGCTTCAATATATAAAATCTCATGGATTACGCCGTCTCGGTTGGTCGTGTCTAACAACTTGGTGTTTATGAATCTGACTATTCACACCGCTCTTTTCAAATATAAAAGTCAGTTTTTTTATTTGAACACCAGTGGGAAAACCAAAGCTGTAGTGCTTCTGTCACATGTTCTATGGTCCAACAGTGTAGGCGTTCTATTGTACCAAATTAATGTGAGCTTCACCAACCATGACACCTAATTGGTATAAGGCGCATTGATCGTAACTTCAAATTAAATCAATAAATTACGCACATAGGATTTTCCACCTTTGAAAAACTCTTCGCGCCAGTTGATATATTAGTCTTGCCTAATAAGCTTGATCAGAGAAATGCGCACCTGAAATCTTCCAACTTTTTTCGTGCCCTTCACCTCGATACATCTGGCTTGGCCGGGGTTCGCAATAAACTGCCCGCAGT